CGCGCGAACTCCCGCATCACCGCCTGCTGGCGCTCGCGAGCGCGCCGAGAACGCTCCTCCTTCTCACGACGCTCCCTGACACACATACGATAAAGTACATTGAAACACATTCGTATCTGGTTTTTGACCGACTTCAAAAAAGAAAGACATACTAAAATTTTCTGTATATATTTTTTTATGTGTGGTACGGCACATCTCCGTACCTAGTGGCCCGATTTTGAGAATTACTTTTTGCTTAAAGTGGGCGGAGCCAATACCCCTTACCTCTCAAAATTGTTAAATAAAGATAATACTCTTCTATAATGCACTCCAATAACGGTTAGTGAATCATTTATATAATAATTTGGCATGTGGGTGTTGTGTGTGTTACCTGGCGCGCTGCTCCGCCTGCCGCTCGCGCTGGTGCGGCCACAGCGTGCGGCGCACGTGCTGCACGGCGGCGGCGCAGCGCGCGTCCAGCGCGGCCAGCTTGCGCAGCACCTGACCTATGAAGTATGGACCGTCGCCTGCGCAACGAAAGCAACATACATTAACATACCTGTTATTAAGACATTTTTTATTAAGTAGCTTTCATCCGTGACTCTCTTTGCGTGGAATTAAATAAAGTCAGTAGTGTTATGAGTTTTTCCAGACTATCCTATACATCTATGCCAAATTTCATCGACATCCGTTTAGCAAATTTACGTTACAAACTCTAACAAACATCCAAGCATCTAAACATTAGCATTTATAATATTAGTATGACAGCTACACTACCATTACTATAATACAACTAGGAAAGATTTGTATTTTTGTATGTATTAAAATAACTCAAAAACTACTGGGCCGATATTAAAAATACTATCACTGTTAGTAAGGTCATTTATCTGTGTGTAACAAAAGCCAATTCTTTATTATTATTATTTTTTCATTTCACACGGACGAAGTCGCGAGCAACAGCTAGTGATATATATTTTAGTTGTGATTTACCGATAGGCTCCTGTGATGCGGGCGCGGGTTCCTCCAATGAAAATGAATCCAGTCGTCCCGAGAGTTGCGAGTGCAGTTTCAGCAACAAAGATATTATCGATTCGTTTACTGGAATCGATTCGTCCGGTTGACTGTGTACTTGCATCTACAAACATTCAATATAATTTATTTACATAATAAAATAATAACACTTAATACTTAAATTATGGTCCTTCGAGCTGGTAAAACCTGCTATTGACGCCGTTTCTGACATAGATGGCGCTGTACCAAGACCGTGTCGTAAACAAAAGTTTAGAAAATTGTCTCTCCAATACAGTTCCTAGCGGTTTGTGGGGTTTTCCTCGACAGTGTTTGGTTATTTTTACATTTTATGTGCAGAAATAGTTATTTGAGTGTTTGTTTAAAACAGTTTTAGGTGTAAAAGTCTAATGACACTATGTGTCATGTGTCATGACAGTACCTGTGTGTCAGTAGAGGGTGAGGGCGGGGAGGGCGCGGCGGGCGGCGCGGGGAGCGCCTGCCAGTGCGACTCCAGCGGGTCTGTTGTATCTAAACGTAAACATAAATATATTATAGATGCGAAAGTTAATAAAAAGGGAAGATTAAGAAATATATAGACTAGACATAGGGACCATTTACACAGAACAGAAGATTTCACCGGTAACTTATTTGTACGGTAATATTTCAATCGAATTTGACATGCCTAGACGCTTCTTAGTGTTTGAATTATTTCTTTGTTTGTTTAACTATGACACCAGGTAGCGCTAGTGAGATGTTGAAATATTCCAGTGAAGTGTCATCTATGCTTCGTCTGTATATTTTTAATCTCTTTGAAGCTAACTTGTAATAAAACGACGAATAAAGAATCTACCATATTCTATTGGCACGGGAGGTGTGTCCAGGTCACTTTGTGTGGGTATCGCGAGGGTCATCTGATTATCTGAATCCATATCGGAGTCAGTCAAGGTCTGCAGCACCAGGGCTTGACTTTCTCCACTGCCACTCTGAAATGCAAAAATAAATTACTTGAGACAAATGAGTGTTTAAAAAAAATATGGATGGATTGGGTGAAAGGTGACATGATCGAGAGGGGAGTGACTGAGATGACGGATGATAGAATTATTTGGAGGACAAAGTCAGTGCGCCGACCCTACGGGAGTAGGCTAAGGTATGGGAGATGATGATGATGATGAAAGGACAGTTTAAATAAGCATCTCGAGACATTTTAAGTGCTACCACATTTTCATTAAATTTGTGATATTTCCTTCAACCATTCCATATAGCAAGCTTGTTTATGAGAAAAATCGAATGAGGGGATTCGAATCTTAAACCATTAGGCAACTGGTGCTTTAAAATTAATTTTATTTACATAGTATACCTCTAACGCTCGTACTTCTGTAGAATCACCGCCGGCGTCTGATTGGTCGTCAGGGACTGAATTTCTATGCACTAATCGCGCCATCTACAAAATGTACAATATTACTATAGTACTGAAATAGAAACTAAAATGAATTTGACAGTGGAGGAGACACATAGGAAGGGGAAATATCCTCTTTATGTACATCTCCTCCATCGATTAAGGGTAGGCAACGCATCTGCCATTACGGATGTCTATGGGCAGCGGTCGCTTCACTATTTGGCGGATTCAGATGATTTTTCGTTTTCCACCTTATGAAATAAATAAAAAATACATAATTATAATATACCTGCATAGCTGTAGGTACTGCTAAAGCGGTGCTGGTCGCTGGTAGAGAGACGGATTTGTTGGGCGGAGGAAGTCGCCCGGTCTCTGGTTCCGAAGGCTCCCATTCCGTATCACCTGAAAGCAATCAAATATGCAATTGGTTTATTATCAAAAAGGGCTTTCTTTATTCCCTTTAAAACATTGTTAAACACTGTTTAGTTGAATGAACCTTTTATTTTTTTTTAACAGTCGCTGATTAGGTAGACATTATCATGATTATATTTTTCACTAAAATGTATGGCTTTCTTTACAACCACTTAATTATTTATTGATCATGGTTTACCAAAATCCGCGCCGGAAGCTAAAATGTATTTGAAACTGCGGCTATAGATGCATTTTTACACAACTACTTTAGTAATAGAAGCCACTGACCTTTACAAACAGACAGGTTATAAATTGTATTTGCCTATTTGATATTTCAGCGTTGATGACTGCGACAGAGGTGGGTATTCGTACAAATTATAAAGATATAAGATATTAATTAAAACGAGTGTTTTTAAGTGTAAACCAATTAAGCTATCATTTGTATAGATCATTGTGCATGTAGTGGTATTTTTTTAATACATAAGGTGGCAAACGAGCAAGCGGCCACCTGAATCCGCCAAAATGGCGAAGCGACCGCTGCCCATAGACATCCGCGATTGCAGATGCATTGCCTACCGTTATCTGACGGAGGAGGAGACGCACATAAAGAGGATATTTCCCCTTCTTATGCATTTTGTCCACCGTCAAATCCAATCCCCTTTCCCATCTTCAATGTGCAATATACTGACTGTCGGAGTGGTAGGCGGGCGCGTGCCGCGGGTAGAGGTGCGGGCGCGCCTGCGGGCGGTGCGGCGGCACGGCGGCCACCACGGTGCGCGCGTTGTCGCACAGCGCGCCACCCGCCAGCGCGCGCAGCAGCGGCACGCCGCGCACCGCGCGCGCGCCCCGCCCGCCCTCGCGCGCCGCCACGCACACTGACCGCTGCGGGTGATTCACTACTCTTACTCAACTCGCGACTCCCTCCACATCGAATTGAAAAACAACGGTAGCTATGTGTTCTTCCAGACTATCCTCTACATATATACCAAATTTCATCGAAATCCGTTCAGTATTAAGGCTTTAAACTCTAATAAACATCCATCTAAACTTTCGCATTTACAATATTAGATGTGAAAATTTAAATGAATGGATCTTAATCAAATTCGGTATAGATGTAAAACAAAGTCTGGAAAAACACATAAGCTACTTACCTTTGATTTTCAAACAGACGGAATCGTGGACAAAAGAAATATTTTAATAGATTACTCTAAATATAATCTGTAAGTCACTCAGGTGTCAGCTAAATTCCAAAACTATTAGGATTATTGAAACAAATTTTACATACGTAATAGGAACGATATCTCCAAGTTTCATTACATTTATGTTGTAGGCGGTATCGATGCGAAGTGTTTATGATTTAATACAAAGCATTTATTTGAGCGTCGGTGGCTCAGTGGTTTGAACACTTGACTTGTAATCTACAGGTCTTGGATTCGAATCCCGCCATGTACCAATGTGATTTTTGATTTTTCGAATTTTCATATGTACATAATTTACCCTACGTTCTTACGGTGAAGGAAAACATCGTGATGCCTGCACATATCGGCAAAGAAATTCAAAGATATGTGTGAAGTCGACTAATCCGCACTTGGCCAGCGTGGTTGACTATGGCCTAGTCACCCAGTATTAGGACAGGCTCCAAGCCCCTCAGTGGGGACGTATAGTGAGCTGATGATGTGATGGTGATGATTTATTTTCGGTCTTATTAATAAAATACAATAAAACGGTATGCGTGTCATACATCGTGTGCCTGGTGCGGCGTGGCGAGGTCCGCGGCGACCGTCAGCAGGTAGACGGCGAGCGCCAGCACGTGGTCGGGCGGCGCCGCGCCCCCCGCGCCTCCCCCCGCCGCGCCCGCGCCGTCCCGCCGCCGCACGCCGCGGTGCAGCACCGCCAGCAGCGCGCCGTGCAGCACGCCTGCATATACAATATTAATTAACAATTTGTTCCACTTCTCACTCTCTTGTGCCATCTTTCAGGTAAGACGCGTAAAACATTCACTCTGTTGCATATACGACCTGAATTCTACGAAATAACGACCAATGTCCATAGCAAAAGCAATTGAGTTGCCTACTTTTAATTATCGGGAAACACACTGAAATAGTATATTTCCCTTTTCTATGCGTCTGCTTAGCTACATTCATCGATGACTAAGATTTCCCTTTTTTATATAATATAAGGTGGTAAACGAGCCTATGTGTCTCCTCCAACGTCAAATCCACCTTCTCTTCCTTATAGAAAAGGGTAGTAAGAGAAAGGAACTTGGACTCCACCACACTCATCAGACTGTAGGCGGAATTACTTCCACTTGACGCCTGTTTTGTGTGGTCGTGATATTGCGGGGAGTGAGCTGACCCTATAGTACGAAGATATTAGTACGAAGAAAACGTATAGTTAACATACCTGACAGGCAGATGACTCGGGGGTCGCCGGCGGCTGCGGGCGGCGCCTGCGCAGGTCTGAGCGGCGGCCACAGCGTGCCTGACCCGCTGGCGGAGCTCGCGCCCGCCGCGCCCCCCGCACCCCCAGCGCTGCTCGCTGCGCCCCCCGCACCCCCTGCACCCGTCGACCCCCCACTGCCGTCCGTCTTCTGCTTTTCTCGTACGCTGAAAACGAAAAGCATACAAATGTAAATGAAACACTAATTTTATTACACTGCAACATTGTAACACTAAATTACAACAAAGGAAAACTGTTCACAAATTATTTTCCTCAATTTATAATAGAATTCAATAGATGGGAATTTGAAACACACTTTTCTAAACAATTGTACCTTTGTTAAGCATATAACAGATAAAGTCGTGCTTGTATCAAATTAAACAGGAAAGCGTTCCAAAATACATCCACAGATAGTAAATTTTACTAATATTATAAATGCGAAAGTTTAGATGGATGGATGTTTGTGAGGAGTTTGTAGCCTAAACGTCTGAACGGATTTGGATGAAATTTGGAATAGATGTGATCATAGTCTGGAAGAACACATAGGCTACTTTCTTTTATTTTTTTAGTTCCATGCGGAAAAGTCGCGGGCAAAAGCTAGTATTATAAATGTGTAAGTTTAGATAGATAGATGTTTGTTGGGAGTTTGTAGCCCAAATTGTTGAATAGATCTGGTCTGGGAGAACACATAGGCTACTTTTGTTTTTTTTTAATTCTACGCAGACAGAGTAGCGGGTAGTATAAAATAATCTTCTTACTATGCCGTGAATCTGTCCATGGAGGAGTGGAAGTCCCTGCGGTGCACGGCGCGGCGCAGCACGTGCAGCGGGTCGTAGTGCTGCTCCCACACCACCGGCTTCGGCACGAACAGCCCCTGCTCCAGGTTCTCCGACCCCTTCGGCGGAGGACGGTACGTCGACAGCTGGATACAATGGAAACAGTTTTTTAAGATTTCACTCCGACTTGTACTTCAGGACAAAGTAAACACGAGATTTGAATTTGAAAATTCTAGATTTCGCGAAGATGATGTATTTGCGTTGCTGACAAAAAAAAATTAAAAAAACCTATGTCTTGTCTGTCCGTAAGTCGCCTTTTGGGCGATCTCCTAAACGGCTGGGACGATTTTGACGGTTTTTTTTAAATTCCGGGCTGTCAGAATGGCGATTGATCGCTATCTCTGGAACGGGTGGACAGACTTAGACGGACCTTCGACAAGAAGACAACCGTGTTTTAAAGTGCTCGGTAGCAAAGTTTACGGACGACTTTAAATTTCAAGGAATACGTTTATATAAGATAGATCAAAGCCATTTATAATTAAAAATGTGATCACCTCCTCACTCACTTACCTCTTTGAGCACGCTCTCAAAGTTCCTGGTGTGCGCGTTCCCGGAGCGCTCCGGCATCAGCTCCAGCAGCTGCGAGTGCGTCTTGTCGCCCGCCGCCAGCAGCGTGCTCACCTCCAGCCGGGACTGCGTCAGCTCGTCGTTGCCTGCACATACATACATACATATTCATACAAAAACATTAAGGACCCGTCCCACACCAGGATAAGGAGGAGGAGGAGGAGGAGGAGGATGATGATGATGATGATGATGATGATGATGATGATGATGATGATGATGATGCTTATTACGGGATTTCAAAATGTCTCAAGTGAAGTCACCTATATTTCCTCTATATATTTTGAATCTCTTTGCTTCGAACCCTACTAGTGTTCTTACCTAGATTAGTTCTGGAGGAAACCAGTATAGCTAGAAAGGTAAGCAGGCCCTCCAGCATAGCGTCCTGTTCTGCTGCCTGTGCTGGCGACAGCGGCGTCATACTTAACCACTCGCGGACACCGAACCTATGCACAGAAACACGATTTTTAACTCAAGTTAACTGGTGTAATGCTAACGTGATTCGGCCTGTATGACCCGTGGATGGGTCGTGGATGGTGGTTAGCTAAATGATAACTGATGAAATGGTAATAGGATAAATAAATGCCCATATAACCTTATCAATGGATTAACCATTGCCTATTCCTCAGTAAAAAGCTAGTATTCTGTTTTTATTTAATTCAATTTTGTTAGTATGAAGTAATACGTCATTATTCCTACTTTATAAGCATTAAGTAATGTTCTTTCTACTACTTCAATAAACTACCCACTTACATATCAATACACATATCAAGAAACTGGTCAGCTGGGAGATGAGCTGCGCAGATCTGTAGCCAGTAGATGTCCATATCCACCATAGAGTTGCAGAAGTTCGCTTGGATGTACGTCATCGCCTGGCCTTTGATCTGAAGCCCGTTTCGCACCCACACACCCGCCAGGATCTCGTAGAAGAGACTCTAGAACACACAAGTCATACTTTTATATGAAGAAAAAAATATTTAGGTTTACGTTTTATTATTATTTACATAAAACCCCTAAATGTATAAATCAATGTCAATATTATTAATGATTGCATTGCAACTTTAAAATGATAATCTTTTCTAAAACAAACAAACAGATATCGCTTCAATTATAAATACATCTTTGTGTAAAAAGTCTGGTTAACATCTCCCACAATGCAACTCACTCAACTGAACCTACTTATTACAAATTGTAGAATTTAGGTAGAAAAAGGGTTCTTTGTTGTAAGGTTAGCATTAGGGTCAACACAACATTGTAACAAAAACGATCCACGTGTTACATTCCTAAGCGATAAGAAAGGGACTTTGGGTCACTATGTGCAAAAACACAGAAATCCTAACAAAAAACTTTTCACTTATAAAATTCTAATAACAGTTTTTTGGTACCGTAAACATGTTTACTGCCCAAACACTGATCCTAAAACATTGTTGTTATTCTACATTTTAAAAAACAATGTGAAAAATATCCTTGGTAGTGAAAGCCTACTGTAAAATCCATTTTGTAATATCAAGTGTAGGCAACATACTGATATTGTCTAAAGTTTTCAATATAATTATTACTCAACTTAAAAATATTTCACGGAAGAATTCATTGGGGGGCGTCCATAAATTACGTCAGGTGTTTAAGGGGGGGGGGGGCGAGTTAAATCTCATCTAATCTTACGTTGGAAAGAGAGGGGGCTCTGCAAATATCACGCAATTTTACTTCTGATTGAAAAAAAATATATATATACTACTCTGGTACATTTAATCCAGATTGTACAATTTGAAAAATCTCACGTGAGATTGGGGGATGGATAAAATCATTCATGGGAGGGGGTTGAATAAAATCTCACGACATCTCACCAGGGGGGTGAGAGGGGCAGAAAATAAAAAAAAACAGCTCACGTAATTTATGGACGCCTCCTTGATTATTATTTGTACACATCGAACAAAAAGAAGACGAGTCTTTCGTCAAGATGTTCACAGATAACATAAAATCATTTTATTGCTGTCGTACCACCAAAAGAATTACGATTACTATAAAATAGTCTGCTTAAGAAATAGTAAGGAAATAAAGCTTTTATTTACAACGGGTGTAAAAATGGTGTTATAAAGTTACAGGATGGGACGATTTAGGCCTTATTTATAATACCCAGTAACATTTCTTTAAACTCTATTTACAACACAAATTTCAAAATCAAATAAACGAAACTGATCGGTACCAATCAAACATTGCCGACTATAGTAAAAAAAAAAACTGCTACTCCGAATTAAACGAGACAGACAACGCATCAAAAGCGAAAGTAACAAAAGCTTCGGTTTACAAATAGGGGAACAGTAAAGTTGTCTGTGTTGCTAGTTGCGACCCGCTTCCCACATTTATGGCAGAATAGCAATAAAATGATTGCACTTATAAACTTTATTTAGAAGTACAAATTTAATGAGGATATCAGATTAAATATTTTGGTAAGCCTCATGGAATGTTTTCATGTAAAACGATATTCATTTAAATACTTCAATTTAAATCTTCTTGTATTGCTTTGTTACAGTTAAGTTGTATTAAATACGTAGGCGTTATTCGCGAACATTGATCAGTAATTGTGCTCACGCAAAGCAGCTAAACCGGTCCGTGTGGCGGGGATGAAGGTTTTGTAACGGAATACCGATCTGTGCTAAAGCAAGCAAACACAACTAACGTTAGTTCAGTTGTAAAAGTGATACTGTGACGTCTATGTGTTTCATAAATATTTTTATCATCGTTAATTCTACGTCTTATTATTAGTGAAGTTGTGAATTTTCGTTAAGTTGGTAAATTTCCCTATTTAAGCTGTGGTGTGGGGAAATCGTTAGTGACGACAGTGGTCACCCGGCGGGGCGGCTTGGCGCACGCCAGTGCGTGCTGGTCCGTCATGTCCGCACGCCGCGTGCACTGCGCGCTGGCGCTGCTCGCGATCGCGGCTGCCGCGCACGCCGTCATCGACGATGCGCTTGACGTTATCCGCCTTAGCAAAGAGATCGGCGAGGAAGTGCTCAACTCCTGGGACGTCATAGGGAGGCCGTTCAATGTGTCCGGTGGTGTGGAGCTGCCGCTCATGAGGCGGCGGGAGCGGGAGGTGCTGGCAAGGCTGGCGCAGGTGTCGCGGACTATAGAAAGGCTTGAACTTAGGATAGAAAAACTGGGCTCCGTGGCTATGTTCCTGGCAAAGGCCGGGGGAAGGGGCGCGAGGCTGGAGCTGCGATTGCACGAGCTGGCGGATCTGCTGAGCCGTGTGGCTGCGGCCAACCGGCAGATGCGCGAGTACGTGCGTCTGCAGCAGGAGTTAGAGCGCGCCACGCTGGAGGACTTCGCACAGTGGTGCGTGTCGCACGACTCGGGAGCACTTCCCGGCCTGCTGGAGCGAGTGCATTCCCTGATCTCGCCACCGCACAAACATTTATTGGGCAGAGGCATTCTGCAGCTTGCATTGGACGACTTACAGGTGGGTAAATCAATATTTCCAATGTGAAATTTGGACACAAAACTGCTAGTTTGTAGATCTCGCGTCGATGTAAGATTTTGCATCTAAATGGTATCGAAATCTCCCAAAAGTAAAATATATAACTATTCTAAACTTTGGGAGTAATAACTTTTTAATGATAATTCAAGGTCCCTTTTCAATACATTGCAACAAAGGCGCAGGTTTCCAAGTACAAAAAATTCTTTTGTCTTAAGCAACAAATTAGGACATTGCCAGTGTTATTATCACATAATGTAAAGCAAATATCATAATCAGCATTAATGTGTCTAATTAACTATAGTAAATTGATGTAACACAAAAATGTTCAAATTCCACACCAAACAATACGGATGCTATTAAATTGAGTGAGATAGAAGGACATTATTTGGCAACATCAAAAGATCACAAGCTTACTGCTAAAGGTAAATGAATGGTATTGTTATAAAAATACATAACTGCATTTCATAACATCGTTCGGGCATCGGAACTATGTTTACATTTTCGATTCATTGATTCGAATTCTCCAGACAACGCTCTGAGAGCTACTTTATTAAGTTAAAAAAAAACACATAACTTTAAAGCCTTTCCTTAGCTACACCAGATTTTAAACGACGTCTATGTCTATTTTTCTTCGATAAAGACATAATTAAACCATTTGCAATTGGGTGAAACAGTCAAACAGAGCCCAATCCGTATATGTGTACAAATAATCTGACCAAATTGTAAAACTTGACCAAACATTTTTAACGTTACCAAGCGTTCTTCGATAAACTCCGATAACGAATATTCTCACAATGATATTAGACCTTTCTGTTTGTGATCCAGAAAAGAAGTACCTACTTGTAAGAAATTTAATGCATTCCCAGTACTACTAGATGTTATCTAAACAAGATAGACCGCCTCGGATGTACGTCTCAAATGATTACTACGAATGTAACAATATCTTATAAAGTATTATAAACAAGAAAGATTTGTATTTTTATATTTGTGTATGTTTTGAAATCATTCAAAAACTACTGGGCCGATTCCAAAAATTCTTTCACCATTAAAAGCTATGTGTAACAGCTATTTTTTTTAATTCTACGCGGGCTTAGTCACGAGCAACAGCTAGTATCTTAATACTTTCAAGTTATAACGTTGTTGGCTCAAATTAGTCTTCAACGAAGGGTTCTGACCTATCTTAAATTAGGGTCGTTAAAGTTAACTACACGGACCGTATGTGTTTTCCGACTGTCGAGTCGTCGGTTTTAATTTTTTTTAAGATTTAATACAACATGCACCAACATGGACTTTGATTACTTGAAACGACATATAATACTTCTTGAATGTACAGTCAGCCAAAAAAAACCATACTCAAACAAGTGACATTAGATATTATTGTTAAAAATGTTTTCAGTGGAAGTATATATTAATGAAGTGCAGGAAAATTTAAGCGATATATTTGGTGAAAGAATATGCTATCAAAAGAAGCGTCTTTCCGCCGCGCCCGTTTGTAAACAGCATACCGACGACAAACAAGGGATGTTTGTTTGTTGCCGCATCTCACAACAACCAATTAATTTGTTGGACCGACACATCATCGATTGTTCAATCGTTGCCTCATTAAGATTTCAAATTTCATAACTACGATGACGCACATTTAAAAATACCAATACACAAAGAGATTGAATTTGGATTGCTAGAAAGAGAAAGACAGAAGAAAATAAGGATAGATTGAATGAGAATATTCGTAAGAAGGGAGTTCTGATATGACGGCTGATAGAGATGTATGGAAGAGTAATGACTTTCCACCATTGGTTCAATATCACCTCCATGGGATGATGAACAGACCCCATAAAGGGCTTAAAAAGTCAAAAAATTATACAACCAATGTCTACCTAAAAACGTAAAACGTTATCTGATTATTTTAGCTTATGACAATGTATTAGAATTTAATATATTAAAAAATAAGCTTCAAGATAAAATCAACGTAGTTAGTCTCTGTCTACCCATTACATCCATAAAATCTTATAATAGAGACTAAAGTGTATGATTAATGACAACCATTTAACCTTAACTTGGAAGTCCTCATATCTTCAGATTAGGATAACGGTTTACGGCAATAAACCATAATAAATGTAACTGTTTAGATTACTTTTAAGAGGAATGAAGCCGGAATCGTGTCATATGTGATATTATTTATATACCCTTAAAAGGGCCGAGCAAAGGATCCGTCCGCTCGCGTTAACATTTATAATAGTCATGAATAAATTTACGATACATGTAATTCAGTCTTTTATGCGTTTTCTAATTTTTTTAATGTTTAAGTTCATTGAACGTTTTTAAGTACCGTTAGTTACGTGGGTTTAATTATGAATTGTACGTGCCATTTTAAAACGAATACGTTATCTCAATTAGTTGTCTTGCACTAAAGTATTCAAAACTAGCTGTTGCTAGCGACTTCATCTACGTAAAAGTTATAAATATAGCCTATGTTACTTATTATAGCATAGCTTTTTAATGGTTCAAATTTTTTTGAAATCGGTCTATTAATTTTTGAGTTATTTTAATACATACAAAGATACAAATCTTTCCTATTTATAATATTGGTGTAGTTAACTCCTGTAACAAAGATATATTCCTTAATCGATATTCTATCTAACCGTTTGCTTCTATTATCGAAACCAAACTATGTATACCAATGAGGTAACCAATAATAGCACAGTAACCTTGGTAACCGTTCACCTGTACAATGACGATAATCCAAATGATAAAACGTATATAAAAGTAACTTCCTTCCTGTGATTTAGTATATGAATCTTTGTATTCAGAATGCAAGTTGTCGCATAGAAACATTGCGACAAAACTGTTGTCTTAGCTGCGAGTCTATATTATGAAAAACTAGCTATCGCTTGCGACTCCGTCCGCGTGGATTTAAGAAAAAAAAAAACACAAAACTAATTAGCTTATGTGTTCTTCCAGACTATGTTTTACATCTATGCTAAATTTCATCCATATTCATACAGCCGTTTAGGCTACAAACTCTAACATACATCTATCCATCCATCTAAACTTTCGCATTTATAATATTAGTATGAAGTATGATTACTATACTAACAAGCCAACCAATACTTAGTTAATAAATTACATGTGAAATATGCATAAAAAGTATCATTATAATATGAACACATAGCCATCTCTTTCATTCGGTTCTAAATAACCTGAGAAACAATCTATACTATTATAATAAAGCGTAAACACACACTTCTTTGTTGCCTAAGATGTCAGCAATTACAGCATGTTTTTGAATAATTCTTTTTCAAATAAAAAACACTACACTTTCGGCACGTTTTAGGCTACATATTTTCACTCCATTAATGTTAGGGCGTAAATATTTTGGATAAAAATCATAAAGTGGGAAAGAGACCATAAGTTGCTGCCAACATCAAGGAAACAAGATTGTCAAGGTTTGTCATGTCATGTAAGTTTGACATTTGCTATTGATAATTTGACAAATGTAAACAATAAAACAAAATTTTCATAATTTCATGCTGATGAAGCTGCACGGGAACAGCTAGTATTCCTATACAGAAAAGCTTAGTTTATAACATTATCTCCCACAGAGTATGTAAATGTCACACAGAGGACCCGTGAGTGTTACTAAGTTGCAATTCAAAACACAAAGCGAGGCCTATCAATGGAGTTACTTGACCCCGGATGGTGCCTGACTACTCTGACTGACTCATTACACTATGACATTATTATTATTACTATAACTGCAATATAATTTAATAAACGTTGTCAATTAACCTTTGTGTATTACTAGGAAATTTAGAAAATTATAGAATTATGTGTACATTACCCAAAAAGTCATAGATATTCTGTGTTAAATTTCGAATATAAGTTGAAACAAGTCTTTAGTGTAGAAAGCGATCCGTTAGCATTTAAAATTGAGATATTAACACGTATATGACCTCGGTCGAATCGAATCCGACGTCGTGTCTCATGACGACAGTCATGAATCATTCGTAACGGTCAGCCTTTGTTTGCTCGCAACGGCTATATCATTTGTTCACAACCAATTTAGTAACAAAATTAAAGTTGAAAAAAAAAAAACATTGTATAGAATTCACAACCCTTACTTCTCCACATGTAAAACACTCGTACATTACAATTCATTTTAGTCTTCTTTAAAAAATGTAGTAAAACGCCCAGTTTATATTATTCCACTTCAAATAGCACATTCAGCATTCAATTAAAACTTGAACCTAACCTAACCCACTGTGTAACCCGGACAATGATATCCAAGTGTGCAATTACATTATCCCAGTTTTAATCCAACGAAGGTTTCGTTAACTGGACTGGAATAAGATAAACTGGGCATATATATATTTGTACGGGTGTTTCGACAGTGAAAACACAATCACGTAATGTAATCGTGTAATTACATACTCAATCGCTAGGCCTAGTAGATTGAAACAGGAAACACACATAATTACAGACGTAATAACCTAATAAACATTTGGCAACATCCTTTACGTACTAGCTCTTGACTGCGACTTCGTTGGTACGGAATTTAAAAAAAAACCTTAGTCACTTATATGTTCTTCCAGAATACGTTCTTCATATTTTCGAAATATTAAAAAAAAATATTTAAGACTGAACAATTGGGTAGGTTTTAAGCCTTTTGTCGGGGACAGTCTTCAGCAAACTAAAGTGTCAAATAATCTCGAATTGTATGAACACTGAACGCGTAATTTTTTGTAACACCTCTTATGCTCTCGACACACATTCGTTAATTTATTAACAGAGCTCCGGCTGACATCTGTCGGCGCAATGAACACTATATAGGCCACTGAAGCTTCACAGAGGAAACGATACACGATTTTCTTTACAGAGTTAAATAAAATTGTGTTTCTGGAAAAGCGATAATTTGAAATTTGAAAGAAAGTATTCGTATCGTCATCGACAAAACTCTTATGAAATTTGTCCAGTATATTTTACGCCGGATAGTGACGCTGCACAAATCTTGTCAATAAACATAACTAATATCTTTTCGTAAATTTTCGTGCTAGATACCCTGACATCAAAGTAATAATATTCGTACAATATACACATAACAGCTACAATAAAGGAGGTTAAACTAATTCAAGGAATTATTTCGTTACTCTTTAATGTATTTTATTTGGAAGTCGATTTTAGTAAACAAAAAAAATATTTATTATTGATATAGAATGCTAGATATATCAACGTATTAATTTTACGAGGGCCATTAAATGTTTGTTGAGTCAGGCAGGAAACCAGCTATTGAGATCGAGGGCGGGGCGTTTTCAAAACAACACGTGAACCTTGACACTTGATAGTAACAGGAAGTGCAACATATTACAAACGTAATATAACATCTTGCATTTCATAAAAAAAAATACTGAAGAGGACATTTTTCATTTGTCATGGATGTTTTCTGTAAATAAAAAAAATGTTGTGATTCCATTATCATTTTTAATGTCTCCAGCTTTAGAAAAATCTAAGGATCCATAACCTACAAGAATTATGTGAGAGCATGAGGTCAACAACCACCGTCAACAAGCAGTTTCTCCCTACGCGAAAGGTATATAACAATAAAAACAATTTAACTGACGATTTTTACAATTCAATAATTTAAAACTTTAAATCAGTTCAAATAGATAGATTCGTAAAACCTTATTGCACAGAGCGAGAGAGGTAGATGCAGACAGCCCGTCAACCGCTAGGGGTGGGACAAGCCCGGACGAAATGATCGATAGTGTCTCCCCCTCCCTTTGAATCCCCGCGTCGCACCCCCAGTCGCTACACTAATAAAAACATTCCGCGTACGATGTCAGCTGACACGATGCTGTAGCCGATACTAACTAACCATAGCACCCGACACACATCTGCCTTGAATCGAAACGCAACAAAACATATCTTGTTACTCGGTAATAAGGTTCACGTGCGGGCAAAATTAATTTTGCCTTGAGCTAACAGCATTAACATGCGGGCTAATGATGTTACAGTATACCGTTTTATAGATATCGATGAAATTGCGAGATATTTTAAATTTCCTGCAACTTTTTCTTAGAAAGGAAGTGGCACTAACAATCACTTTTATTCTATTTGCATTTCTTAAATTACTACATTGAATATGTCATTAAAATGTCCTAAAACATCATTTGATAATTTTTCTGTGACAATAAAAAATGCATACAGTACGTTACAGAAAATTGATGAATATAGTAGTGAGCGAATGGCACGTAAGTTCAAAATTGTTTTCATACTTAGTAGACTCGAAATGTTTCTCGTCACGACTTCTCATTATTTATACGAAAACATTTAAAATTCAAGGTCTCAATCAACTGCTTCGTTGTGTTTGAATGATTTATCAAAATGGTAATACGCAATCATGACGAACACGTATGCAAAACTATCGACAATCGGTGTCGCGTCACTAGGGCGACCCCGCTCGCCGGTCGCAGCCGGTCCGGCCCTCCGCAACTCCGCGCCAGTCTGCCCCACGCCGCCGCGCGCCGCGTTTTGTTTCACAATCACGATGAGAGTAGCGGCGCTTTTTGCGCTGCTGGTGTTCGCGCTCGCGGACGACCTGTCGCCGGTCGACAATGTGCGCAACGATTTCTACGATCTCGAGGTTTTATTATGGAAGAACGTTTCGAATCCCTCTTGGCTCTCTATGGGCCAGGGAGGAGACGTCGAGTTAGCCAAGTTTTTTGCGAAAATGGATGACTACATAGAGGCGGTACCGCAGACTTCGACGTCGCCCGTCGAGATGTGGTTGTGGTCAAAGGCGAAGAGCAAGTTGAGGATCATCGACGGTCTTTACAAGAACTTCGTGGAGTTCGTGCGGCGGCAGGCGGTGCCGGGATCGGTGCCGTCGTCGGTGCGGGAGTGGTTGGACTTAGCTGAGAGCGTGCTAATGGACCCAAAGGCGTCGGTGGCTCAGGCAGTGCGCAGCCTGAACGAGCTTACTGAGCACGGCGATATGTTCCGCGCGGTGCTACAGGTACATGTCTATAGATTATGGCACTAACGTACGAGGGGTCAACAGCCGATGACCCGGTGTTTATATAAACATAGATCGTATTTAATTCCGTATGGAGTACATTTCGCTCTTCGTAAACAATTCGGAAACACTCCGTCGTTCCACTTTTGCTCGCGCTCGATGACGTCGAGCCGTTTCGCAATAACGACCTCAATAATAACCCTAATGAATATCAATTCCTGCTCGTAATTATCAAAACATCTTTTTAATTAACGCAACTAATTAAAAAGAAAGTAAATAATGTCTTAACGTATTTCGGATTAAAAAGCCTTTGTTTATAATTCGAAATAAATCACTTCCTTTAAAAAACATCAAAAGGGAGTTAACAAAGGCAGCTCAAACAAAGATAACGAGATCCAGTGTGATTTAGTACAAAGGCGTACGAGTGTTCGTCATAGAAATACACAGATCCGTATATACACACTATTCTTCTTTCAGTGTTCCCATAGTGGTTTCATTAGTGCGTTATTTTTAACACTAAACAACAAATCAGTTTAAAAACTCGATTATCAAGAAAACAAAAGTTATAAGATAATTGCTCGAATTGTTAGCAATCTAATGATCGGATTACAATGAAGGCAACAGCCGTAAAATAATCGCTTTGTACTTACGATTTCTTTGAATGGCCGAGAAACCCGAGTTCCTAAAGGCGACAAATGGACACCGAGACCGTTATCATTTGACAAAGGCCGCACGTGCATATCGCAACAACTGCTTGTTACGGTTCTGCATTTTTTAATCTAAAAATCAAATTAAAATCTAACAAATGTTGATAAATGGTTGAATATTCTTAAAGGAAATTCTACTATATACAATAATAATATATATAATTTCAAATTAACAACTTTATGTACTCTTGACCTTTTAAGGAAATATACGTTTACCTATAACCGCAAATTACACATAGAGTGAGAACAATAGCTAAGCTATTTAACTGTATAAAGAAGTAATTTTGTAATTTATAGTGCCACAATTTGTAAAGATAATAATAATCTAATTTCCTAGTAAATTCGTTAACGTCAAGTTACAAAATTATGGTGACCAATTAATACAAATCAATAATCTATGACCGTTGATTTGTCACACGTTAACAATTCTACTATCTTACTCTAAAACTCGAATTAAATGTCTATTTCCACTTAGCGGTTAGTCGTGTACAGTCGGAACGAATAGTTCATTCGGAAAAATGAATTCATTAGCTGCTTGGTGATGTGCAAGTGGAAATAGGAATTAAATTTCAATTCGCTTATTTCCAGGAGGACCATCCGGATCTGTGTGACCTTCAACTGTCTCCTCACCAGCTGATATACGATATGTACAACACAATATCACTCACAGAGATCAAAGGATACGCCATGATGCAGTTCTCTTGGATGCTACTTAGGATCTACGGGAAAGGTAAGAAACCGTCTAAAGATACAGGGTGCACACTATGACCAGTAAACTAACCTACAAAGACATCCTGTATAGTAACATACTTATAAGGCTCTTTCCACTGATTTCCAAAAGTAAAATTGTAACAAAAATTTCTGACAGTAAATATTAATTATCAACGATTTTTTTTAAATAAAACATCTACAAAGGAAATGGACTTCCCATATAAACACTCGATAAACCACATATCAGTAATGAGCCAGTCAACACGCATGCAATCACAATCTCTTTGTCTTCACTTCTTGGAAGCAAATCGTCCACTCAGCGTGTATTGCGTATTAACTGTAACAACACGTTACGAACTGGGTCATTGTAAGTCCCATAACTGAACTCTAAGGTGCATTTGCAGACAATATTTATTTACATAACAGTTATAAAACTACTTTTAAAAATATATTTAATTGACCTGTCATTCTGTTAAATGGGTCGATTTAAAATAAAAAATTATCTTCATCGAAACATTCCGTCAACCATAAACTTTAACATCTCTATCCTCATTCCACCCAAGTCTGATCGGCGCACCAGATTTTCGTCTACCTTCTTAATTATGACTTCTTTCACAGAACCCACTTAAACTTATAACCATAAACATGAAAATCTCACAGTCTTTATTCTACTCCGTTAGTTACGCACCAGGTTTTTGTACTCCAGCATAATCTATCTTCAATTATATCAGTTGTCACTCTTGATTATGTCATCTTTTACGCAATCCATCTAGCTCTTTCTATCTTTCCTCTACCGGTTTACCTCCACACTTTTAACTAAAATCTGCCATGCTTACCGTCCACAATATACAGATAGAGGACCTCAATAGTTATCTTTTAAGCGCAAAGTATGTTGGCCGATTTTTCCATAGTTTTAATGTTATTGATTTTTTTCACAAAAAAAATCAATAACTTTAAATAAAGAAAATCGGGCTACATACATTACGTTTAAACTATAGCTGTTGATGTTCTCTAACTCCACAAAGCCGTTTCGTCCGGTAAGAATCACCCTATATAACAATATTATTAAATATATTTAGTACGTTTTATTTGTATAAATGACATTGGGATAATAAGCAGTGCGCGTTATCTCTTGAACTCACAAATTAAACATTAAACTGATATTCAAACGCAAACTTATACAAATTTATCAAATTACGTTACCCTAACCATTAATTATAAATTCGACACTAAAAAGAACTCAATATTAAATTGCAAAGATTTGTTAAGGTCAAAAGTTCAAGAGTTGTTAAGGTTTATTTCTATTATGTATGAATTTTCAAGAATTTAAGCCAAATATTGAAACGATATTAAAATCTGTAGCTATAACAGCATATTTAAAATTGTGACGTCTGTTTGGTTATTTATTATTACAATGTGTTTAAGATTCTTTGCAGTATTCAGCTGTTAGTGTGCTAATAGTAAGGAATGTTGGAAACCCTACAAATACAGGGTCACTGCGCAAACCATGGAGCGTCCACCGAAGCGATCTAAGAGCTCGGGGCCTCTCAATCCGATAATAATAACGAAGGAACGGCTCGTGCCAAGGCTCCTAAGGGAACCCTCGAGCTTAGTTAGTCATAAACGAGGTTTAGGCTAAGCGTCTTGCGCTCGGCCACCTAAAGCCCAGAGAATCTGTAAATGCTTTTTCAAGGCAAACAGTGGCCACGTAGTCACAAAAAAATGCGCAAACAAAATTTTATCCGTTGGATTAAGCCGATGACCTGTCGACATATCGGCGTTTTAATAATAAAAACAATTATTGTACTAATAATGATTTTCCCTTATTGTTATCATATTTATTCAAATATATTTCCTCCTAGCTTATTTGCTGTTAATTAAATTACGGTTTTTTATAAACAGAATAACTAACAGGACAAATATAAATATAAAATATTTATTGATAATAAATTACGAGTTACGTATTATTAATTTTCTGGAACAAATGCAAATAATCGATACAGACATATCAAGCGCACGGTTTCTGGACTAAAATTTTATATTTCGTTATGTCAAATATAGGAGGAAAAGCTAAGCGCATGTATGCCATTGCGGAAAGCACTTCAGCAGCAGAATCCAAGGGGTTCAAAAATAAATTACATTGTCACACACACACACACATATTGTCACAGACTTTTACAGAGAATTAGATTTGACAATATATTTTAGTATAAGTTTTCGGTATCAATCAGCATAAATCGGTCGTTCTTTTATACTTGTTACCCTACAAAAGTAGAATTCGTTTTGCGTTTAATTATTTGTATTGTAAATAATTTCAGGCAACTTCACACAAGAGGCGAGCCTAACGAGATCGAGGTACGGGGAGCGGTCAGCGCGGACAGCGACCGCCGCGAAAGCAGCCCTGGCCATGGCCAGGCGAGACCTGTATCGTTGCGACCCACCCATACATAAAGAAGGTAAGACCGTATCTAAAATCGTTGAATTTTGTCTATCGACGCATATACAAAAACCTCACTACTATAATCATACTGATAATATAAATGCTAAGGTTTGTATGGATGGATGAATTTTTGTTAGAGTTGTAACCTAAACGGCTGAACAGATTTCGATGAAATTTGGTGTAGATGTAGAGGATAGTCTGAAAGAACACATAGGCTTTTGTTTATTTTTAAATATCATATACGCGGACGGAGTCGCGGGCAAAAGCTAGTTCTTTTGTAAATCATATTAAAATGTTTAAATGTCATTTATCAATATGGTTAAACCCGTAAGATACCGTAATTTTCCCATTTTTTAATTTCATCAGTTAGTACAAACAACTTATTGATGATAACCCCACATACGAGTTCTGTATTTTCCTAAATAGCCTATCACATTCTTATAAAATTATCATCGACTAGCTGTCGCTCGCAACTTCGCCTGCATTAAAATAAGAAATAACAAATATTGCCTATGTTACTCAGTGAGTTTCATTGGGAAACGTAACTTTTTATGGTGAAAGAATTATTGAAATCAGCCCACTAATTTTAGCGTTATTTCAAAATATACAAAATACTATTTTTTCCTCTTTATAACAGTAAGTATAGATTAGTAGTATCATACACAAACGCCCTACTTTGCTTTTGTATCAGGTGAAACATACGCCGAAGTAACTCGTCTACTGCAAGGCTACATAGAGAACGAGGTAGACATGAACACGGAGGGTACATGCCGCGACAACTGCGCGTATTACACGCTCGCTGAACGACACGATTGCTTCAAAGATCAGTTCTGCGCAAAACAAGAAACATGTAACGGAAGAATCATCAACTGTCAGTACATCGATTCGGATATGAGCGTGTGTCAAGCCAGCGTTAGTATATTTGTTTTTTATTACCCAAGTAACTTTTAAGTAACTCTGACGGGGGCCAAAACCAAGGGATATTTGGTGAAAAATTAGAGTCAGAAAATAAAACTCGATACATCAAGATAACCGGAATCAAAGGAAGGTCAGCACAAAATAGTAATTTTTTTTTAAATCGCAGGGAAGAAACAACAAACGTCGATATGAGTGGATAGAATATGAGAACGGAAGGAAGTTTGGCCAGTCGTATAGCTGCTCGCGACTGCCTGATAAGGTAGATTTTACTAGTACTACTTTATTTTTAAAACAATTTTATAATACGCAATTTAAAAAACATCGCCTCTTAAATCCCACATAGGTAAAGGGTAGATAGAAAAGGCATGTCTCTCAAATGTGCTTGAGAGATCCTTGTCTTCCTTTACTCCCTCGCTGACGTCATATCGTAGTGACGTCACTAGATGTCAAAGCGTCAATGAGCATAGTAACCGCGGTGCAAGTCCCACAGGTAGACTCGTGGTGGCGCTGGCTGTTCTGGCACTGTTCGTACTGCATGTGCCTCTGCGACGAGCCCGGCCCCAAATCCGACCGCTACTTCAGCCTGTGGGACTCCACCTCCGACGTTAAGAACAACAAGTTAGTCCCCAGACATTAGGACGCCCGCACACCTAGCATTACTAACGGACTGTGTCATAATTATTATCAGTCGTTTAATAACAATTTTTTCTCTCAAGGTCGACTCTTGGTGGAAGTGGAATCTCCTCCACTGCTCGTACTGCTTTTGCCTTTGCGAGGACGATGTCAACAAAGCGGAACGCTTCTTTAGCTTGCAAGAAGCATGCGCTGATGACACGAAGAACATGTCAGTACCAAAACAGACTGAGGGGATTTAAGCTATAAATCCTAGCTTTGTAAATGGTCTTCGCTAGATTGGCATAATAACTTATCGTATTTTATGTATAGGAGTAGTGCTAACAGCATGGGTGTGCGGGGGTCGTTATTTGGCTTGTCTAAGAGACGTGGTCTAAGAATATTTGTTTGATTCCAGGGTAGTGACTGGAATACGTCTGGTGAAGCATGGGAGGATGTTCCACCTGCAGATAAGCGAGGGTACGTTGGGTGAGCGCGGTGCGGTGAAGGCCGGCAGCTGGGTACCGATACAGAAGTTCGATCCTAACGACCAGAACGTAAGAGAAGGTACAGATTACCACACGCTGACATACGAGAGGAGAGCTATAGATCTTGATGAACTAGACTCGCCTGTGGGACACGTTCTGACTGGAGTGAGGTAATGCTAAGTAAAATAATTTCTTTACTTCGAGACATTGCTATTATTCTAATGATTATATGACGTAGGTTCCGTATGATCGGTGCGCACTTACACTTCGAGATTCGGTCTACGCCCTTCAATTATACCACCGGTCGTCTCGCCTCCGAGAAAAGCATTTGGATTAGCAACGACAATACTGAAGGAGCGGATACGCCGAGGTTAGTTTATTTACATTAACTTCACTTATGGTCGGTTGCTGAAGTTTCCATTTGTTAACTAGTGATTCATTAGTGTTAGGTTAACTTTCAACGGAGTAAAACTCATGTTACATCGTTCGAAAACGTATTTCAAGAAGTTATCGTACTAAAAACACTAACAAATAGTTAAAAGTAGCTGGGAAACTGACCATTAGTAGCACTCAGCCCCCAAAAGGCCAATGTAAGACTTGAAATACATTAAAAAAACATTGTAAGTGAAATTAATGCTTGTAACTTTTCCAGGTCGCAACTAACATTACACCGGCCGGACATACCGACGCGCAGTCCGATGCCTCTATCGGTGGACTCCAAGCACGACCAGTTCATCGAGTTTACTAACACAGACTTCGAGGCGGACGCCGCGCAGAGTACCGTGCCCTTTATTGATATACAACCCCTACAGCCATTGAAAGGTACGTTATATTCTTTGGCAATCATTAATAAGGTTATATATAATTTTATTTCCATATTTAGAGTTTATTTCATACCAGCAACGTTAAATAGAATATTTAGATGTAGCTCGTAGTCAATATCATTTAAAATAATTAGAAATATGCACTCTATTCTGGCGGGTACCGGTAGTCTAAATGTTGGAGTTAATTACGATTATTATCTCCCCTACCTTATCCTACTCGTGTATGGTCGGCGCAAGTGTTCGTCCTCCAAATAACTATCATCCGTCATCTCAGTCACTCCCTTCATTACGACACATGCGACTTATCCTCATAACATGTTATAATCTATACATATAATAAAATTGGAGTGTCCGTTTATATTTGCGTTGCTGATAACGAAAATCACATTCAAAAATTTTCTGTCTGTTCGCAAGCCGCATTTATTTCGGCAAATTTCGACCGGACTTTCACTGAAGGGTAACAGACATAGCTGTCATAGACTTTTTTATGTTAATTATTTTAAATATTGCATCAACGAAGTCGCAGACAACAGTTAGTTATTATCTAAAACTGTGGATCCTAGATGGTTAGCTAGCAGGGTGAGGTTGGGGCTTATGTTATTTTTTCTTAATATTGCGTGAACCAAGTTGCAGGCAACAGTTAGTAATTATCTAAAACTGTGTCCTAGGTGGTGGTCTAGCTAGCGGGGCGGGGCTGGTGCACCGCGGCGCGCCGGGCTCGGGCGGGTTTATCGCACTGAAGCTGTTCACGTACGACTACTCGCGGCACGTGCGCGCGGACGTGCCGCCCGGCGCATACGATGATACCACCTCAGAGTTCACGCCAGTCATCAATTAATTTAACATATACTCAATACCTTAATTATAGTTGTAATGTAATTTTTCGTAAATAAAGTCACGATAAAAATGATTTTAGTTGTTTTTATTACATTACGTATAATTGATAATTTGTGTGATAGATGTATTATGCAGCTTTTCTAGTCCTAAACTTTAGCACACTGTGCGTTAAAACTTATTGTCTAATAATCTTGTTTTAGTTACGTTAAATAGTCGCTTATAACTATTAAAATATTCTAGTTATTTTTCGCTATTCGCAGCATTACTGTCCACATATAAATTAAAATTTATGGATAAAACAAATTCACAAACACACAAGTTGCATACCTAATGCGCCAAACCACGCGAGATGCGTGTACGTATACGTACGCAAATTGCGTGTATACGTGCACACGCATGCGGGGCTTGTATGTTCGTATACGCCCGCATGCGAACCTATGTGTGTACGTATACGCACGCATGCGTACTCGTGTGTGTACGTATACGCACGCATGCGTACTCGTGTGTGTACGTATACGCACGCATGCGTACTCGTGTGTGTACTTGTGTGTGTGTGCGTGTGGCTGTGTGCAGGTACCTGTACTCGCAGCGGGTGCGCGGCGAGCAGCGCCAGCAGGTGGTGCGCGGGCAGCAGGTCGGCGGCGCGCAGACCGAGGCAGCGCACGCCGGCGCAGAGGAAGGCCGCCAGGTAGCGGTGCAGCGGGAAGTGGAACGACGCGTGCATTGCCTCCGTCTGACACAACATACAACTATACATCACACACCCACCTAAGTATAAGTTAAACTAGTACGAAATCATATAACCAAATCTCTAGGGCAAAATGAAAAAGAGATAACGGTAGTCAATATAGTAGTTCAGTTCATTAAAGTTACATATAAAATAAGGTCATTCTGATCGGTCTGGCCGACACACACGAAATACAGACTATAAATATCTGAGTTTTTTGACACATTTCTTACAACTTATTAAAGACATAAACACATTTCATTCATGAAATTTTTAAAATGTGACTTTTTTCTTCTGCCAAATTAAAAGACAAGGTCCAAAGACCTATTGACTGTGAGCAACTGGACTTGGTAATCTTACTAATATTATAAATGCCAAAGTTCAGCCCGACATTCGCCTAAACTGCTGAACGGATCTCGCTAAAATTTTTCATAAAAGTAGAGGATACTCTGGAAAACACACATATTACTCACTTTGAATACCACGCGAATATAGTGTAAGCCACTCACCCGATGCATATGCGGCGTGGTGAAGTTAACAGCATCTAGCCAGTCGCGCAGGTAGGCGAGCGCGGCGGCCACCATGCGGCGGGCGAGCGGCGCGTGCGCGGGCTCCGAGAGGTGGCCCAGCACTGACCACATGGGGTAGGCGGCCGCCTCCAGCTCGCACGAGAACGCCGCGTAGTACGAGGATGGCTCGAACTCTATGTGACCTCCGGTCTCGCGAACGTTCACGTTCATACCTTTAAATGGAGGTTTCACTTTTAAAAGGTTGAATTCTATACTAACTGTAGAGGAAAGCTTTGATTGTTTGTGAGGAATAGGAAATTAAAAACTGATTCAAAACATTCTTAAGCTATTATACACTATCACAGATATATTTTATTACTAGATTTCTTTAATGCGCGGACGAAATCCCGAGCTTTTGCTCGAGTACTTAAAAAAAACAGATGACAGAAATTAAATTATTGCTAAACATTTAATAATAATTTATTAATAATTGATTTCTATACTTTTCTTTAATTTTGCTATAAATATATCTCAATAGAAAAATTTTCAGAAAAATTACTAACCTTGCAACATCGAGAGAAACTCAAACCACATATCCACAAGCGCATCATCCTGTAGAAACAGCAATGCCACACTTTTATGACTTAACACATTATTGAAGTCAGACACCAGCGGCCAATAGCAGTGTTCCTTCATCACTCTCCGAGTACAATCTATCACACGGTGCAGATTAGCTTCGGGATCATGTAAGGAGTTGCGGACCAGTATGCGGCCCATCATCAGCCGCAGCGACAACACCATCACATGCAGTAGATGCAGCTGTTGTACACAGCGCAGTGCTAACGCTTCGTTAGAGAACAGTTGTACTGACATGTGCACTACTCTGTTGGACAGTGTGTCCGGGTCCGCTGCACTTTCCAGTACAAGCGGTATACGGGCGTAATGCATCACGAATGTACGTGTTAGATGTTCCTGGGAAGTAAAATATAATAATTTTAACAATTTTAATTTTTACTTGTAGAAACATTTTATCTTGCCGTCCCTTTCACAAAAGGAATGGATGGGAAATTGGTTTTAAAATGATTTTAGGTAACAAACTGCTTTTCCTAATATCTATGGTTAACAAAACGCTTGCTGATTGCCATCTTATAACGTAAAAAACTAAATTTATACCACAATACCTTTTCCAAAAGGTTTTGAAGATAGTGTAAATTCTACACTTGACCATAGTCATTATTTTGTTTGTCTATCGCCTTACCAACACATAGAAAAATATAAATTAAACATAATTTACCTTATAATCTTGATCTGGCAACATATTGAGCAGGAAGCAGACCACGTTCTGTGGAAACTCGTACTTGAACGTCCAGAATATGAACTCGTCCAGCAACGTGTTGTGCTGCAGCCGGGGAGCCAGCGCCGGCAGATGGCGGTATCTGTTAATACCACGTTTAATATTAACTACCATACTTAATATATTGAAATAAAGGGACCTGTCCCACCACTGGCTGATAGAGGCTCAGATAGCTTAAAAATGACGCCACTTTCAGATAAAGTAACAAAATCCGATATTTCAATCGCATATTTTACATGTTAGATTGTTACCAGACAATTTACAATTTGGTGGGACAGGTCCTTAAAGACAAATCGTAATTATCGTAACGAAAACCATGAACATAACGTAGACAACCAAAATGTACAGTTCTTTTGTCTTACGTGATTTTCTAATATACACAAAAATTATAAAACATAGGAATGTAAAAATTGAAAAATTATTGCTAACAATGGTCTACTTAGGAGCCATCTAAATTATACTTTTAACATAACATTTTGGAAGATTTAAAAATTAAATTCTACTCTATGACGTATGTTACTCTATGGCCGCAGTAAACACACTAGCGCCACTCACTCGTCAGGCGGCTCCGGCGCGGGGAAGGACTCGATGGCCTTGTCGTACATCTTACTGGACTCGGCCATGTAGCGTCCGTACTCCGTGTCCGGGAATGGCGGCTCCACCAAGTTGCGGTACATCTGGACAGTTAAAAATATTTCTAGCATCTAGAATCTAGCAATATTAAGTATTGTTAAGAAGAAAATCAGAATTGCGCTTTAGGATTAGTTCAACACTAGATTACTGACATATGTCCCGTCCTAACCATCTGTCCAATGTCATTGAGACTTGATATATTGCACCATTGGCGGGATCAGTAACACTGAGCTTTTAAATTAATTACTATAGTTCTAGTTACGATTATTATTATTTTTATATGAGAAATATTAGTAGATTTTTGTTAATTTACTAATATTTCCTTTAACCATTCCTACTAAGCTCTAGTCTTGTGCTAGGATATGGTTCACAATAGTCGAATGGCGGTATTTGAACCCTCGACCTCTAGATCGGTAGTCCGTACCCCAAACCATTAAATTATTTTAGTTGCGTAAAAGTAATATAAACTTTTTTACCTGTGGATTGATGAGCGCTTTCGTCATAGCGGAACGCATGAGGTCCCCCATGTTGTTGAATTCCATTAGCATCTGCACATAACCCTCGCACTCCTGCACCGCGATACGATAACTGTCCGATGTGGTCTGTGTACCCCAACTGGAATAGACAATAAAAAATCATCAATATTGTAAACTACTTATTAGTTCTGAATGATAATACAAGCATTTTCTAAAGTGCTTTATCAAGTTAGATTTAATGATTAGAGTTTACGCTAACTTTACTGCTAGCTTTTGCCCGCGACTCCGCACGCTTGGATATAAAAAATGTAATTTACATTTTGTGTTTTTTTTTTTTAAATTTTGGTCTTAAGATGTCTATGTTTGCTAAAATACTTATGCCAACAATAAACTTTGGTAAACTTCCTTGTAAAACATGTCAAGGTTGATGACAACGAATATGACATCATACATATAATTTTTATCCAAACAATTAATTAATAATGAAATTATTTTCTCTTGGTTTATGTACACCAAGGTCCTTGGGCCTACCCTGTCTGGAGTGCCTAGTTACTCAACCACGCTTAACCAACGCATTACATCAATAGTGTAAATTCGATATGAAAAATAATAATAACCTGTTCTCTCTAAAATGCTGCAGAAGTCGCAATATGAGTCTGGGCATCATTGCTTCAGCCACGCACATCAGTTCTGCGGGAGCTGCACCCGTCCGGGGACACTTGTTGCCATGGTTACTGCAGAATCTAAAAAAGAAACAAAATCATGCATAAGAATGTGTTACTAAACTAACGACCATTGGCTATTAGATATTTGAATATTGGATAGTGTGAATTTTTCATAGACATAGACCTTGTTTTCTGCCTAATAAAAAAAATACCAATATAATAAACAGACACTACTTGGTTATGTAGGATGAAACAATTACAGTATATTTTTAAAAAAATATTTCTGTAATAAAAAGCCCTACACATACGTCACGCTTTAGGTTATGTATTTTCACGCTATTAAACTTAAGGAGTATATAATTTGTAAAAAACCGTCATGCGGAAAAGGGATAAAAACAACAAACTGACAACATTAAGGAAGCAAGGGTGCCGTGGTAATAGAAATTGTTAACCAATGTCAAAGGCTTTTGTTGTCATTTATGCGTTTGAATTTCGACATTTGAAAATTTCATAAACGTAAATATTAAAACACATTGCTTTAATTTCACGCAGATGAATGTCTTATATAAATGTACTATGATATCATACACCTAGCAGCAGCTATCCGCGAGTTTGATTAACGAGGACGCATTATCTAGGCGGGACACGGCCAAGGCCGGGAGCAAGGCCGAGGTGAAGTTCATAGACGTCGGAACGGAACTGTATTGTTTAAACTAATCTAGATATCGAGGTCTCAATAAAATCTAATTGTACTAACTGAAATAGGGAAAATAAATGTTATTAAAAACCTAAATTTATCTAAGATAAAAAAAAAACTTCAAAGATTTTGTTAGAACTACGACAAATATGACCCTAAATATATATTTGAGTGTGAAATATTAATATATCGTACAAAGACAGATTTATCGATAGAAAAACATGAACAATCGCTGTATGCCTATTCACTAGACTTGACACTTCTAGTGTTCTAGGTCATTGGCCTTACATCGATATAATTTACATCTTTCTATTGCATTCTTGTATTCTTATAATAAACAAGTAATAAATTCTATCTAATTAATGGATCGTTAAACATAATAGTTCAAGACCATAGTGATCGAGCACCAAATATAGAACCCGTAAGCGGCTTTCCTGTTTACGACTGGGGGCCGGTGGAGCGTGACGTCATTTACGCCCTCGCAGACAGAACAGAAAATACATGGAGAATTACATCAACTATTTTTAATTCAGCAACTACATCTGTTAATCGAATATCATCGAAAAAAATAAGCCTGCATATAATCTTAAGAAAAGAAAATATCAATAATTATTTTAGAAATATACGTAAAAAAAGAATCACTACAAATAGCTTAAGATTGATAAGGTTTTGAGACCTAGAAATTTAAGTAGCATCTCAATTTTTAAGGTTCGAAACAAAGACTGATATTTTCACGTTGGAACCACTCTTTGCATCTCTTATTCTAATATACCGGTATATCTATTATGCAGATTTGTGCACGAGGCTCTTTCATATAAGGGCTTTATCTGGCAGTTGTGATTACAGGAAAATATCGACAGACAGACATCGTGACAAACAGGATTTAAATGTTTTTACACGCACTTGGTGTGTGGATGAGAAAACGGGATCCTTATTCCTATTAAGGATTGAACCTGATATTGATCACTTGTCGATGCATAACGGATAGGTTAATCTTCACAAAAGTGCAGTTAAAATCTTTTTGGCTACCCCTACTTTCGTATATTAAGTCATTATTCCATTGCACTCACCCATCCTCCTTCATAACAGAATTATCCCCGCAATCACAAGCCCCTCCCGCCTGTGAGAGGAACATGTTGAAGTCGTGCGTGGAGTGGTCGCCGCGGTGAAAACAGTCCCTACAGATGGACATGCAGGGGGAGATGCCACACGTGCGGCAGCGGTACGCCACCACGCGAGGTATCCACACAAGGCCGCATTTGTCGTGCTTGTCATAACTGCGCACTGTAGACAAAGATTTAAATACATTACAGATACATTTAAATTATAATTGTGAGTAGAAGAAACTGTAGTAGCAAAAGTTATTAAACCTGTACGATCCTGATGTAAGAAAAAACACATTCTCATATATTTAATTAAAATAAATTAGCATATATCTTTATACATTCGATGACATTTAACAGATAAGTATCATGATAAGGAACGGTAGCATTCAGTATCTTTTGACATTTTCAGTCTTAAAATTATTTCTTTAGCTTTACTCGCCACAGCTTTTGTTTGAATATGACGGCTTTAATATAAAATTTCTAGGACCTTTCCGAAGAAAATAAGGTTCGTATTTCCTATCTCTACCAATACCAGGACATAGAAACTCTCCTAAGATTTAACTCATCATTATTAACTGATGTTTACAATTTAGCTAATTTGACAGTGGTAGAGCCCGCTTTAACATCTTTGCACGAATGGGTCGGCTCGCCCGGTGAAATAACACGACCACACAGAAGACAGGCGTCAAGTGGAAGCAATTCAGCGTTTCGTCTGATAAGTGTGGTGCTGGTGGCCCAATTTTAGTCCATTGCCCGTCCCACCTTTTTCTTTAAGAATGGATGGGAAAGTGGATTTGACGGTGGAGGAGACGCATAGGATGGGGAAATATCCTCTTTATGTGCTTCTCCTCCTTCGTTGATTTAGGGTAGGCAACGCATCTGCAATTGCGGATGTCTATGGGCAGCGGTCGCTTCGTCATTTTGGCGGATTTAGGTGGCTGCTTGCTCTTTTGCCACCTTTTTGTATATAAAAAAAATAACCCAGCTTTGCCGGTTATAACATAAAAATCTAAAGTCAACACCAAGCAAGAACTCCCCGCTTGGCTGCTTTGCGAGGTGTGAAATCATCACTTAAGCTATTTACATAAGTATGTGTAAGTATTAAATGTTACCCGAATTAAACATGTAAATTACTTTTATTACAAACGTAAAATATTTCTCGTTCGAGTGCACAGCCTTTTTAAAAACAATTTTTTAGTTAACAAAATTCCATTCATAGAAATGCATATTGGCAACTTAGTAACTTTTGAAATGTGATAATTTTCCTTCTTTACTCGTATAATTGTAAGGTGGGTAGTCATTAGACGTTGCGTCGTGTGTCCCGCATATGTCAGTAAGACCGTTAGTGTTGTGGCCATATACAAACAATGCATAAACTGCAATTAGTTGGTGCGCGTGCAAGCCGTTTGTCATGCGGAACGGTCGCCGTGCACACTATTATATAAATACAGTGCAAATAGTCATTGAAACCTTCCCAGATAATTATAAATCTTCCTCCTAATGATGATGGTATGTGAATCTAATTATTTTTAGTGGCAAAAAATGTTCATATAGATTTATTCTCGCGGTGATTAGACAAACATTTTAGCTGTCACGATGACTCAGTTACATTTCTATCTCAAAAGAATATTGGACGATGAATTGCGGTAACTTCTTACTTTAATCTGTAAAAGAAAACATCTTACTTCTTACTAATATTATAAATGCGAATGTTTGAATGGATCCATCCATTTGTTTGTTAGAGTTTGTAGCATCTACTACTGAACTTATCACGATTAAATTTGGCATAGATGTAGATAATGGTCTTGAAGAACACATAGGCTACTTACATTACATTTTTTTTTAATTCCACGCGGTCGGAGTCGCGACAGTATGTAATAAAGACGGGAAAGGGACAGAGAGACGGTAGTTCCTAGCACGTAGTTATAACCGTTAATTTCTGCCATATAACTGGTATTAAATATACAGACCTTTCCTTTTTCAAAGAGATAAAAAAGAAATGGTAATGTTTTCTACAAGTATTTAAACAGTGAAAACACACAGGATACTATTGTTAAAAGGCACATTGTTGACATTTCAACGAATTTACACAGCTGCCTAGTAATGTTGTTTTGTCCTTAAATAGTAGACATGTTACCGATAAGCGATGCAATTAGCTTTCAAGTATTCAAATTGAAAGAAAATTCGAAAAGACACTTACTATACAAATAAACACATACTTTATTAAATTTAGAAACAAAAGTCGCACTCTCAAGTTACCGTTTATTAAAAAATCTTACTAATATTATAAAATGCGAAAGTTCAGATGGATGAATGTTTGTTAGAGTTTGTAGCCTAAACTGCTGATCGGATTTCGATTAAATTTGGTATAGACGTAAAGGTTAGTCTGGAAGAACACTAGGCTTCTCACTTTTGTCATATGACTACAACTGTAGTTTTTTTTTTGTTATTACTTGATATTCAAAAGTATTCAGTTATAAACCAAATGGACAACTCCAAAAGATCCGGGTACCAAGTTTAATTACAATTAATGGATACTACAATAGTATTCATTGTCTTAAAATAATTCACAAAATGTTCCAACTCCCAAGAAAATAAACACAAAGAATATCATACAAATATTACTGTAGGCAGCGACCTAGACTTTAATACAATAAGAAACTAGGACAACGTCGGATGAAAAGGGTAAGCCAATCGGATATTCCCATGACCTACAACTTACTCTATAAGAACACGACCGACATTAAATCCTACATCTACTGTTAGATAGATGAAGAACTAATCTTACTAATATTATGAATACGAAAGTTTAGACGGATGTATGGTTGTGTTCCGTGCGGAGATCCCATTCCCCCCTTTTTTAGCGATGTTTTCGACCACCGTGGAAAAAAAGCCTTGCTTCCAAGTAACCGTAAATTTACGAACATGTCTATGGTTAATTTACAACACAATTTGCGTAAATTACGAGGTAAAATCTAGTGAATTAACACCATTAAGATAGCACTGCACATAGTATATCTAGGTAGGGGATAAAAAATGACAAGGCCCCCCAATTAACCGGGGCAGCGAGGCGGGCAGATGGGCGTGAGTTATGAAGTCTCGCGCGACAACTGGTTGTTGAACCTCGCTCAATTCGCTGACTCGTGGTAACGGTCATAGTCACAATCCCTAGGCTCCGACAATCAAAAATGCTTGTTTCATATCTTGACTTAATTATTATAAGACGTCGGTGTCAACGTATTAAATAATCTTTCTAATTCGAAAAGACGGAACTAAAACTGGCCCAGGACAGTACAGGTACACCCATTGCCTTAATTGATAGTTCATTCTTAAAAATTGGTTACAGGATTCACAATGGAACCAACTAAAATACCCGCGAACAAAATCGTATACATACAAAGAGGAAAGATTTGTATTTTTGCAAGTATTAAACTAACTCAAAAATCACTAGGCCGATTTCAAAATTACATTCACCGTCACAAAGCTACGATATCACTGAGTAACAAGGCTATTTTCTTTTTTTTAATATAAAAAACATAGGAACAAAGTATTTTTCGTAAAAATATATAAGACTCAAGATCATAAATTACACTGATCGTGCTTGATGTTTATGTTGTGCGATAAACATCAAAAAGAGACATTCTAAGATGCATTACATTTTTTATAATTTAACATTCTTTGCAGTGAAACACAAATGATGAACTTGAGGTATTATTTTCCATGCCCTTTGGCATAATTAGTCGTAGTTACTCAAACGAAAATACAAATTAAACATTAAATAACAAAAGTTTGTTATGCAGTCTCTGTGTTCGATCACTCTGATAAAATCTATTTAGGTCACAATGATTATGAATTCTGGCTGACATCCAAATGGTAGCCATAAAAATCCAACAATCTAGTCTAAGCCAAAACTAACGCCCGAATTCTGAAACGAATCTCAAACTCTTTGGTTTAAAAGTGCCGCTTACAATCTCTCCGAAGTCAAAATTGGAATGGAATTTTGTGTTTAAGCGTGACTTTATCATTGTTACATATTTAAATGTCGTTTTAATATTCAGCCGTAAGTGTTGTATGTAACTTAGCTTTCAATTTCTTGCCAAAATACTTCGATCAAGAATAAGTTATATCTGATCGAAGCCAAAGTATTCCACTTTGACAGAGTTTAACGAAATGGTCTGTATAACAGAACTAATATTTTAGAGGGGATGAATGGATGGGGGAAGGAAGTTGAGCGAGGCGATGAGACGACTACCCAATAACGCAATCAATATGGGGTAGTTAGTCGACGCAAATTATTTAAACCTTGCATTTGTATAACTTAATTCCAAAATGCAAATCGAAATATTTACCTTAGGTAGAAACGTATAGTGTATATAAAATATTACGTGAAAAGTAATACCATTTTATCTAAACGAAGTGAGAAGTTATGTTACATCATTTAAGCGGCTTGAAATTCAATAAAAAGTTATAAACCGGCGGAGTGTGGAAGACAAATGGCTTTGTTTGCTGTTCTGCCCGCAACTATATTAAACAAGCTACTGCAGAACTAGGTTTACCATCTCTAAAAGGACTAGGCAGACTTATATCTTGAATATCACCAAAAAAGGTACAGCACTACTTCATAGCAACAAAATAACTCACGCCTGTAACCTAAAGGGGTCAGTAGCTACCTACGTTTGTACGCATACTTGCATGTCGATTGTAGGTGCTCTTAATACCGCCAATCATGCGTAATAATATACATAATGAAAACTTCTACTGTTAATTAATAGAAAGACGAAATTAATACTGATAATTTTCAGAATGTGAACGTTGAATCATTTGTTTCTAACACCTCACTAGATTTGGTATTAAATTATTACGTAAATGACGTATAAACAATAAATAGAAATGAAATGAAAATGCTTAATAGTTAAAGAAAATTATATGAATAAATAGAAAAAAGGAAACAAAGTCTACACGTTGCTTCGAACAAAGCACATAATCAAGTCAACATATAAACTGCTCAAAGACAAAACAGACCACAAACATAAACAACTAGACAGTGCACATAAATCCGCGTTGCTAACAATCGCCCTGCGACTAAGTCGATCATTGGAGGACAAAAAGAGGCCTGTTTATTCTTAGAACTGGTCCTCACATCCGAGGGGAGCAGGATAACCATTACACGACGGATAC